AGGGTTCCACACCAGGGCTCCACACCACGGGCTCCACACCAGGGGTTCCACTCCAGGGCTCCACACCAGGGTTCCACACCAGGGCTCCACACCACGGGCTCCACACCAGGGGTTCCACTCCAGGGCTCCACACCAGGGTTCCACACCAGGGCTCCACACCACGGGCTCCACACCAGGGGTTCCACTCCAGGGCTCCACACCAGGGTTCCACACCAGGGCTCCACACCACGGGCTCCACACCAGGGGTTCCACTCCAGGGCTCCACACCAGGGTTCCACACCAGGGCTCCACACCACGGGCTCCACACCAGGGGTTCCACTCCAGGGCTCCACACCAGGGTTCCACACCAGGGCTCCACACCACGGGCTCCACACCAGGGGTTCCACTCCAGGGCTCCACACCAGGGTTCCACACCAGGGCTCCACACCACGGGCTCCACACCAGGGGTTCCACTCCAGGGCTCCACACCAGGGTTCCACACCAGGGCTCCACACCACGGGCTCCACACCAGGGGTTCCACTCCAGGGCTCCACACCAGGGTTCCACACCATGGGCTCCACACCAGGGCTCCACACTAGGGGTTCCACACCAGGGGTTCCACACAATGTCAGGATTCCAGCCCCCCGCCCCATCACTAATCTGAGAAAAAATTAGGATAGGAAAGAAGACATGTTTTGGATCAAAACCAGACAGTTGTAACTGATATTCCCGCCACCAGTAACTCCATGTTCTGAAAGTTCCTTGATTTCAAAATATATAATGGTATCCTTATTGGCAATCATTTTGAAGAATTCTCCTTGGTGAAGCCAATTAGACATCTGTTACATTCAGTAACAGGCCTCTTCTCCTTGAAGGTGTATAATTCAAAATGGCCCGGCTGGCGTGGCTCAATGGTTGAGCATCAACCTATGAACCAGGAGGTCATGTTCGATTCCTGGTCAGGGCACATGACCAGGTTGCGGGCTTGATTCCCCTTTGGGGGCATGCAGGAGGCAGCTAATCAGTGATTCTTTCTCATCATTGATGTTTCCATCTCTCTCTCTCCCTCTTCCTCTCTGAAATAAATAAAAAAATATACATATATAAAGGGAAGGACGGTTCTTCATAAACGGTGAGAAGACAGTTTATGTTCTCCAGAATAATCCAGGAGGGAATGAGAAAGTGAAGTGGGAACGTGTATTAGTCAGGGTGCTCTAGAGAAACACAGCCAATAGGAGATGGATAGATAGATAAACAGACAGACAGCTAGATAGATTCTGATTGAGAAGGTCTAGGGAAAGGCCTTTAAAAAAATGTCCCTAGGTACCTCTCGGGGTTTGAGGATGTTGGATGCGCGGTGCCTCTGGCAGGTGATTCTGCATTGACTCCAATTCCAAGGCTGCTGCTGGGAAGACTAAACAACATTCAATCAGCCAACGGCCTAGGGCAGTGGTCGGCAAACTGCAGCTCGGCAAACGGTGGCTCGCGAGCCACATGCGGCTCTTTGGCCCCTTGAGTGTGGCTCTTCCACAAAACACCGGCTCTTCCACAAAATACCGGCTCTTCCACAAAATACTGACTTCTGCGCATGGGCAGCAAAGTTTCAATCGCACTGTACGTGCGCGCCCGCACGTGGTATTTTGTGGAAGAGTCACACTCAAGGGGCCAAAGGGCCGCATGTGGCTCGCAAGCCGCGGTTTGCTGACCACGGGCCTAGGGTGACACAGAAATCTTCTATCCCAGGACCATCATGAGGTGATAATTTTTAAAAAGTCCCTTTCAAATAACACAGCACCACCTCTGCCTGAATTCAGGATGTCAATGCATTACCCTCGTCTTATTCCTTCTAATTCCTTCGTGGGAGCAGTTTCCACAGTAGATGTTTTGGCGTCTGGGCAAGTCAAGTTCACCAGCAATGGCTCCGAGATGCAGACCAGAGATTCAGTCTGGGAGGCACTGGGATCCGGTCACAGCGGCAGAACGTGGTGGGGACACGAGCTGGGCTCCAGGGGAGGGCCTCTCTCCTGTCCTTTCCAGCTCACGCTCAGGACATTCTTTCCTGGAAAAAATCACCCGGAGGACACGTTAAGATGCAGATCACCAGGCCCTGCCCTTTACGCCTCTGATTCCTTCCGTCGGGTTGGAGCGCTGAGAATCTGCACTTCCAACACGTCCCCAGGGGCTGCTGCTGGGCTGGACCACACTCTCGGGGCGGCTGCTGGAGATCACTGGCCATGACTCGCGTGGGATGTGAGATCCGAATGGGAGTCCTCTGTGTATGCCCAGCTCCCGGCCCAAATCCAGGTGTGACTGGCTGTGTGCAATCCTGAGAAAGTTTCGATTTTTTTTAACGTTTCACTCTGAGAGAACTTTGGATGTCTAGCCAAATTGCAAAAGTCGTACAGAGAGCTCCCATATACCTCTACCCAACTTCCCCGTATGTTAACACCTTACATAACCACAGAGCAACCATCAAAACCAAGAATGTAACCTTAGTAAAGACGATGACCAACTAGACTACAAGTTGTTGGGGCTCACCCTGCTTTCCCACTAACGTCCTTTTCATGCGTCAAGATCCAGTCCAGTCCAGGCTCCCATGTTGGATTTCGTCGTCATGCCTCCTCGGTCTCTTCCCACCTGAGACAGCACAGCGGTCTTTCTGTCTCTCGTTAGCTTGACAGCTCTATCTGGGAGGACGCCTCTCACGTTGTCTGTGGTTTTCTCGTGATTAGACTAAGTTACCTGTTCCTGGGAAGGATGTCACAGGGGTGCTGTGTCCTGCTCAGGGCACCACTTCCGGTGATGCGTGACATCGGCCTGAGCGGCTGGTGATGTTAACACACTTGGTTAATGTGGTGTCCGCCAGAATTCTACACGGGGAAGTTGCTATTTTTCCCTTTGTAATTACTAGATGTTTTGGTGGCGATCCACTGAGACTTCAAGTATCCTGACTCAGCTTAAATGTGAACATCACTAATGTCAGTGCCCGCCGGAGGATCTCTCGGGCAGCAACGGCTACCTTGACGTTCTGATGGAAGCTATTTCCCTGGCTCCTCCTATGTTTACCCACTGGAATGCTTCTGCATGAAGAGGTTTTTCTCCCAGGGATGAAGACCTCTGACAACGGAGCTGCAGAGCCCCACAGTCAAAGCCCCGGGCTGCTACTTAACACACCTCTGCTGCTGGGCACGTCTGACCTTGTGAAGAGAATAGTTGGGTTTGCCCGCTGGAAGAAAAGGCAATTCGGCCTGAAGAGGGCGCCGTTGCAGGAGGGCTCCGTGCAGTGTGGAGCCTGGATGAAGAGCCCGACTTCCCCATATGGAGATCTGGGCTCCCCTCGCTGTACCCCATCGGCCCGAGAGCTCAGACAAGGAGCAGCCCCTTCGTGCCCGTTTCCTTGTGTAAAAAAAACAAGGCGGTTGGATGTGATGGTCCAACTCTGATGGTTTCTGCTCAACATTTCAGTCTCATTAGGCGTCGGTTTTCCCCTTTATCTTCTTCTGTGGATATTTTCCCATTGCTTTTGGATGGAGTGGAAAGTGGGGTGAGGGGGACAGAGAGGGAAACATTGATACGAGACAAACCAATTGGTTGCCTCCTGCATGCGCCCTGACTAGGGCTGGGGATGGAGCCTGCAACCGAAGTACAATGTGCCCTTGACCGGGAATTGAACCCGAGAGCATTCAGTGTGCAGGCCGATGCTCTAACCACTGAGCTCCTGGCCAGGGCCCTTCTATCTTCTTTATCGCACCCGTCCTTTCCTCGTCACTTCTGGAAGAACTGTGTGTGCACTATTCTTATCGTATAAAAACAACAGCTATCTCTTTCTAACTGTGCTCTCATCCCTAAAACGTTCCCTCCTGCATACGTGAAGATGAATAGCCCTTGTTCCTAGCGCGGACATATTAACTACTTGGGAGGTTATGCAACCAGGCTTGTTACAATCCCAGAAGGCAGAACTGAAACAGATTCCACAAGGAAAGCCACATATTATTTTCTGGCCTAGGATGTTTCTCCAGCCACGAATCCAAGATGAGGCTCATATCTCCAAAGGTTCATTTCCTGCTTCCTTTGCCCCTGAGTGCAATAAAGGCCTGTTTCGTTAGACACCTCACTCCCCCTGTCCACAATGAGCAGCCACGGACTCTTAGTTAATAAAACGAGGGTTTATTGAGTTTCCAGTTCTAACAAATAGTCAGGCATGATCTCCGCCATGGGCCCCCAGGCCTGGTAAGAAGGAAGTGGTCCCTGTGCCCGCTGACAGGGAGAATGTCCAACCGTATCCTTTAGTCTCAAAGGTGACGCTCCCCGACCTCTTCGCTGCTGAATTTCATGTTCTTAGCACACGGAGGTCCCAAAGACACTTTGGCCAAACATTAAGATCTTAAAAAAAAGGAAAAGCAAAAAGCAGGGAACCAGGTAAAGACTAAAACAGATGGTGGCCTTGGCCGTGGCACCGCAGAGCAACCTGCTCTGAAGGCAGCCGGAGCCCAGACCTGCCACACGCTTCCCCTGCTCGCGCTGAGGGGCTGGGGAGGGAGGAGGTGAACGAGGCCATGCGGGGTTCCAGAAGGAAATCAGGATCTTGAGGGTTTTTAATTCCACAGGAAGGTCAGAGCAGCAGGAAATCAAGGCTTACCCTCTCCCTCCCCCTCCAGCAAATAGTTAAAACCCTGGAGCAGGAGGAGCAAAGAAACAGCCCACCGTCTTGGGCTGCTCTATGATTTGTGTTTAAAAGACTGAATTTAAATGAAAAGAATAAAGATAAGGAGGAAGGCATCGAGGCTTCAGCTTCTGTGGCCCTGAAAGCCGGCTGTTTGTTGGAGCCCAAACAAGCTGGGCTTCAAGAAGCCAGAGCAGTGGTTCTCAACCTTCTGGCCCTTTAAATACAGTTCCTCATGTTGTGACTCAACCATAAAATTATTTTCGTTGCTACTTCATAACTGTAATGTTGCTACTGTTATGAATCGTAATGTAAATATCTGATATGCAGGATGGTCTTAGGCGACCCCTGTGAAAGGGTCGTTCGACCGCCAAAGGGGTCGCAACCCACAGGTTGAGAACCGCTGAGCCAGAGGCACGGCCCAGGACGAGCCCAGCCACGGGCAGAGCCGAGCTCGGTGACGCTCCTCTCCCGGCCGCTCTCCCCTCGGCCTCCTCGGTCCTACCTGTCCCCACTGGTCTCTGCCAGCCTGTTGTTCATGATGGCAAAGGCCCCCACGCCCCCTGAGAACTCGCTGTCCCGAGGCTGCGTGCCCGTCTGGAGGCGGCAGCCGTTGGCCGACTCGGACAGCTGCTTCTGCAGGGCGGCCAGCGACACCTTGTTGGTGGTCAGGAAGTCCTTCATGGAGATCATCTCCTCCGAGGGGCGCCGCCCACCCACCTCACTGTCCATTACCCCGCCTGTTTCTGAGGGGTCGTTGCCTGGCATGATCGCGTTCCTGCGTGCCCTTGGGAGGCCGCCCTGGCACTGCCGGCAGCACCCGCTGCCCATTTTCCTCAGGATCCAGTTCACCGACTGTTTGATGAGGATGGAGATGACATTGAACAAGGAGTAGATGCAGCAGACGCCCATGAGGATGAAGGCGAAGTTGGCAAAGCGGTAGAGGCCCTGGCTCTCGTACATGGCGTTCTGGCTGCTGACCAGGTCCCCAAAGCCGATGGTGCTGAACGCCACGAAGCAGAAGTAGAGGGAGTCGAAGTAGCTCCAGCCCTCGATGCAGGTGTACATGGCCGAGGCGCAGCAGGAGATGAGGAGGGAGGCCAGGCACAGGATCAGCATGACATAGTACACGGAGGGCTTCCAGCCCGCCAGGCCGCCCACCGCACCGCAGAGGTTCTTGGGGCTCTCCCGGGGCAGGGCCCCCTCTCTCCGGAGCTGCTGCTGGTGGCAGGACTTCATGATGTAGGCGATGACGGTGATCAGCCGCTCCAGGAAGAGGTTGAAGAACAAGATGGTGCTTGCACACCCAATGAGGCCATAGAAGATCAGAAAGATTTTCCCTCCTACTGTCGCGGGAGTCGTCATCCCAAACCCTGCAGGAGACAAAAGTCAGAGGAGAGAAGCGTGAGGGAGAGCCGTGCCGTGGATGGGGTCAGGGTCTTGGCTCTGATGTGGGCCAAGGACCCACAGAAATGGTTTCACCGAAGCACCCAGGCCTCGTCCTCCTAGGAACTCGAGGGCAAGTCCTCACTGCCTTTGAAGACGCTACGCGTTGTTCAGAGATGGAGCCACAGAGCAAATCAGGAAAAGGCACCTTGTCCTCCAGGTGGGCGCGGCCAGTGAAATGGCTTGGTGATGGGTAGGTGGGCTGATTTCCGCCTCCCCGCCCCACTCTGCTAGACGACCTAGTACAGTACACAACCTGAACAGCCAGACTCGACAGATGTTGTTCAGAGAGATAAACAAAGGTTCATACAAAGAAAGGGCTTATACAGACTCATCGAAATTCATGTGTTCCATAAACGTGTTGAGTGCCATTTGGGGGACGAGAGATCGAACTGTGGAAAAGACAGACCTGGGCCCTGCCCTCAGGGAGCTCTCGTCCAGTGAGGCGATGACTAATACTGTGTGGTCAGCCTTGTGCTGTAGGATCCCAGGGGAGCTGCTTAGAGGGAAGCCCATTTCAGAATTGGGGTTCTGGAAAGACGAAGCATGGAGACTTGAAAGCTAAAGAGAAGTTAGGTAGAAAAGGAGGGTGTATGTGCGTGTTGTGTGTGTGTTGTATGTGTGTGCGTGTTCTGTGTGTGTGAACAAGTGATGATGAAGGTGATGGTGGTGGGGATGGGGCTGTTCCAGGCAGAGACACAGCAGATACCATCATATGTAGAGTTGAGAAATTTGCTCAACATTTTCTCATTTTTTAAACAAATTCTTCCCATATACACCTCATGCTCTGGAAGTGAACACTGAGGTGTTGGTTGACAAAATATAAAATGTCTCTCTTGCTTTTGTCTTTTCCTGTTCACGATTTCCACCTTCTTGACCTTTCTACCCAGGCACACAGACAAGTTACTAAAAATTCAGCTGTAGGACACTGGATATCATTAAGAAAAATGAGAAACAGAAAAGAGAGCAGTGATACATTTGCCAAGAATCAGAAGAGAGCTTTCTCGTGTAGCACACTTTCTTTTCTGAAATCTTCCTGTCTGATCCCAAAGATGACAATTATTTTTCTTGTGGAGAGCTGCTCTCAGCCACAGGTAATAGTAATAATGTATTATTATTAATTTAAAAACAGGTTTCTATTCATTTCAGAGAGAGGAAGGGAGAGGGAGAGAGAGAGAGGAACATCAATGATGAGAGAGAATCATTGATCGGCTGCCTCCTGCACGCCCCACACTGGGGATCGAGCCCGCAACCTGGGCATGTGCCCTGATGGGGAGTCCAACCATGACCTCCTGGTTCATGGGTCAATGCTCAATCACTGGCTGGGCAGCAGTAATTTATTGAGTTAAGTTCATCTGTTAAGTTCAAGAGCTTGTGTAGGGGTCTGGGTCACCCAAAGATGACCTGTCCGAGGTCCTGGACCTCAAGGAGTGCAGCTTCTAGGCCAGCGGTTCTCAACCTGTGGGTCGCGACCCCTTTGGGAGTCAAATGACCCTTTCACAGGGGTCACCTAAGACCATCCTGCATATCAGATACAGTGGGGCCTTGACTTACGAGTGTCCCGACTAACGAGTTTTTCGAGATACGAGCCGTCTCTCGGCTGATTTTTTGCTTTGAGTTGCGAGCTAAAATTCAGGTTACGAGCCAGCTTCAGATACCCCACTGCTAGTTGGTGCAGCGAACGTCACAGTGAACGCCACAACATCAGCCCAGCATCACATGTCTCACACGACCCTTTCACAGGGGTCGCCTAAGACCATCCTGCATATCAGATATTTACATTACGATTCATAACAGTAGCAACATTACAGTTATGAAGTAGCAACGAAAATAATTTTATGGTTGGGTCACAACATGAGGAACTGTATTTAAAGGGCCAGAAGGTTGAGAACCACTGTTCTAGGCCAAGACAGATAAACTGCCGTCTACAGAACAAGGCCCATTGATTCAAGGGCCAGCATGAAGGCGTGATGGGGCTCCCCTGGCATCAGGGTCCTGAACGCAGCCTCGTCCTGGACGAGTGACTTGCGCACACACAGGTGTGTTGCTGAAGCCCATGCGCGAGCTTGACAAACCGATTTTCCCGTGAATGAGACGTCCAGTGATTTTGCCACATGTTCCAGGAATTTAAAATTTCTAGACTCGATCTTGTTTATTTGGTTTTAAAACATTCGATTTTATTAAAGAAAGGGTAATCCACGACGTTTGATCACCTACTGTATTTGATCGATCACTGCCATCTTTCCAATCAGCAAAAATAACAGAAAATGGGGTGTTCCCAGGAGCAATGGCAGACAGCCTCCTCATGTTTGCACGTGGAGGTGTTTCCATAGCTGTTGCCCCTCTCGGGCTTAGGCGTGTGTAAGCTGACAATGCAGGCTTTTCCAGAGAAAGCCTCCCCATTTCTTGAGCTCAGAATACTGAGCACCGAGGATGCCCTGGATTGAGAATAATCAGCCTCAGGGTCCTCCTTGGTGGAAGGAAAGGACTCAGGCATGACCAAGGCACCAGTTTGCCACTGACCCTTCACCCCCACGCTGGGGAGCTGGGTGTTAGTTTCCAGTCTATTGGCCTCATTGGACGAATGAGAAAAAGTGGAATTCAGTCACTTTGCCTAAAGGTGGGAAGCCGGAATCAGGACCTAGATGTGTCTCGTTTCCCAGGCCTGTGCTCTTGCCACCTGACTCTGCTGAGTGAGTGCAAGCGACTGTCAGGGGAACACACTGGAAGCAGAGCTGAGGGAGGGAAATGGACAAGCATCTGTAGTTCCATGCTTGACACAGACACCCACGCTGCAGTGGCTGCCAAATCTGGCACCAAAATCAGGAGACTGGCTGCCATCAGAAGCTAAAACCCTACAGTCGTTACTAAAACATACACTTCAACATGTACTCATGCCTCTTCCAACAGGTGATATAAATACGTCAGTTTAAACCCTGTTATGCTCCATGCATTTCGGTCTCCCTGTATTTGACAGGCACAGAAATGAATGGATTGTCACAGGAGCCGCTTCTCAATGCACAATGTATTCCCTGTGCTTCCAGCCTGAAGCTATCTGATTTGTGTCCAACCCGAATCTGGGAGAAGATGAGCCAGTCGACTGGGGACCAAAGGTGCACAAGTGTAGTTTGGAGGCCACAGAAGCTCACCTGTCAGTCCACGGCAGTCTAGCTCCACGGAACCATTTCCGACCTGTTTTATGTGACCACGACCCCCAGGCAACTCCCTGGGGCCCTTGGGGCCAGGAATGAAGTGATCAGGGACTGCCAGGGCCCCAGTCAACCCCCAAAGAGCCCTTCATTGAGACCAAGAAGAGAGGTGTCCTAGTAGGCCTGCAGTCTCCACCCTTTTATGTAGATGTTGTCCACTCCATAGTCTTAAAAAAAACAACTCAAGGTAAAAAGATGTAAAAGCTTTGCATTATGATATTTTTCAAACACACACAAAGGTAGAGAGAATCTTACATAATAATAGACAAACATGTAAATTGACCGTACCTTCGCTGTGCTAACCAGCCAATCAGGAGAGTATGCAAATTAACCCAACAAAAATGGTAGTTAATTTGCATACATAGGCTCCAAGCTGCGGAGCGAAGCCTGACAGCCCTGGGGCCGGAGCAGCGAAGCCCAATGGCCCCGGGGCTGGAGCAGCGAAGCCTGACGGCTCCAGGGCCGGCTCCGGCCAGAGCCCGGCCAGAGCGAAGGCCTGGGTCCCGAGTGCCAGAGGCAAACCAGTGCTAGCAGCCAAGGGAAGGGAAGGCCTATTGCATGAATCTCTTCGTGCAACAGGCCTCTAGCCTATATATAAAAGCCTAAGCAACCGTTCGATCTTTCGACTGTTCGACCGGTGCTATGATGTGCACTGACCACCAGGGGGCAGATGCTCAACGAACAGGCATGGAAACATGGAACAGATTGATGAATCTTAGAGAGAAAGGGGGAGGGCGGGAAGAGATTAACCAAAGATCTTATATGCATGGATTCATGCACTGGTGGTGTCCCTTGGCCTGGCCTGCGTGGATCCGGCCGAATCCATGCACCGGGCCTCCGACATCCCCTGAGGGGTCTTAGATTGCGAGAGGGCACAGGCCAGGCTGAGGGACCCCACTGGTGCACGAATCTGTGCACCAGGCCTCTAGTACTATAATAAACTCTCATTTCCCAGTTCCAGCAATTGTCAACATTTTTGCCAATCACGTTTCTGCTAGCCCAGCCCACTCCCTTTATTTACCGAAGTCTTTTAAAGTAAATCCCAGAAATTCCCATTTCATCCATTAATAACAACGCACTGTAACTGGCAAGGACTTCCTGCTCCCAAAGGAGCCACTCTGCCATTATCACACCCTACAAAATGGACACTAATTCCTTAACACCAAATAATACCCATCCATATTCAAGTTTCTCAAAACGACTTTTTTACAGATCATCTGTAGAAGTCAGGATCCTAACAAGGTCCACACATTTTATCTGTTAAGTCTCTTTTGTTAACAGTCTCCCCTCTCATATTAAAAAAAAAAAAATATATATATATATATATATTTCCCTAACATTAAGAATATTTTATTTCAGAGAGGAAGGGTGGCCCAGATGAACTCTAAGGACCTTCAGATTCCAATATTCTGTGCTTGGTGTGTGCAGAGCGCAGATCTGAGCTCGTTCTATACATTCGATCACCCCAGGATTCTGAAGGGAGCTCACCTTGGGTACTCACGGCTCTCCTACAGGCCAGGCAGGTACATCTATAGTGCACCCCAAGAAAAGTTCTATCTGTCCCATTTCTCAACTACAATGACATCACAGACTGAATGCATTTCACAAGGCACCACGCGGGCCGAGGGGAGATGGTCGCACTGCAAACCTGAGCTGCTAGGAGTCCTTCCTAACGTTAAGGATATTTTTAGACTTTGCTATTTCAGGGTTCTAACTCC